TGAGACAGATAAATACATAAAAAATTAATAATTAGCAAAATATTTCTTTCCTAATTATTTGAACGCCAATGTATGTCTTTGATAAGTTTTTCACAATGTCAAACACAATGTCAAGATGTACACTGTGTGGTTGACATTATTGAGAAAAACTTATTAAAAATTCATAACATTGTGGGAAAAGGGAGAGAGAAATTATAGTGAAAGAAGCTATCTCTAGGATGAAGAATGAAAACTGAACATATTTGGGTGGAGACAGATTGCCTTAATGCATCATCTTATCAACTCTCCTACTCGGGACTCATCTTACGCGGGTACTATTATTGTGCGCTAGTTGTCGGTCTTTAGCAAGATATTTCGATCATGTCTTTTCACTTTATTCATAGATCTGCGAATTAATATACATTTTTGAAAATTCTTAGCAACAAATTCTTAGGCTAATATACATACTTCAATATTTTCTATTCCTTCCTGTATTCAACATTTTTTCAATTAATATATTACTGGTTTTATTTTTGTCCTAAAAAAAGTTTTTCTCATGTCACACTGTGGACATTGTAGTTTTGAAAATTTGAAGATTTTCCTATCATTAAGTTATGATGATTGCACAATGTAAGACAATTAATGTTAGCCTCATAGGCAAAAACTTAACAAGCAGTGTTAAAACATTCTACTTTACAAATCACTTTTTCCCTCAATAAAAATGGCATTCCACAAAGTCAAGGAAAGGAAACAAATTTATTTCCCTAAATGCATTTTATTCAAACTAGAAAGTTTAAACTGGGATGCAGGTAATTTTTTTTTGCAAATATTGCTCAATTTGTTTGAGTGTAATTTAAAAGATAACTTTTTACGCTTTTTGCTCAAAGTCATGGAAGCTAAACTATACATCTAAATAAAAATGGGAGAACTATAAAATAGATTAGTGATTTTTTTAAACAGGAATAAAAATGTGTAGAATTAATAGATATATAGTGTAATCAGAATCGTATGTAATCAGAATTAACAGATCATAGATTTGTAAAGCGAACGGGTGGCAATTATATTACCTAAATAATTATTAAATGGGAAGAGAACATAATAATAGATGGTGCATTTGCTTTCCAGCGCCAACACCATAATGGAGGTGAAGAATGTCGCCTTAAAGCTAAAGGCATGGGCCTGGATTTATCTCTGAGCGGTTGTTTTGTCTTCTCCGTGATTGACAATTCATGGTGGTGCTCCTCTTCATACGTTGCCTCCATGATTTGATTCTGGTCGCACCACCTAAAGTTACAACTGGGAATCAAAGGACATGTTCTTTTGCATTTATTGATTTTTTTGTCTTGCCTCATCATTTTTATTGTTTATTTTATCTCACCTTGTTTGAGAAATCGAGTATTCTTGTTAATTTGTGTATTGAAATCAATATCTTGAATTGTATACAATGAACTAGCCAGAAATATATGAAATTCCTTGAATAAGATTGATACATAGACATAATTTAATGCATAAACTTGATTATCATTGATTTTTAATTGTCCTCACTAACCTATGCTAACTAATCTATTATACTATATCTACTCTATATTAATGTCAATATTTTTGAATTGAAATAAATTTCGATTTTGTGACCTCCTCCTTGAGAGTGTTACAATAATTTCATCAACACTACAAAAAAAGGCGGGATTGACACGGAATTTGGCACGGATTTATCAATTTTTCGTGCCAAAGTGTTTTTGGCACGGATTTGGCGTATCCCTGCCAAAATCCGTGCTAAATCCGTGCCAAAATCCCTGCCAATCCCGTGTTTTTTTGTAGTGCAAACTTACTAAGATTATCGATCATTGTTTACTTCCTGAATTATGACTCCTTCACTCCTAATTAAAGAAGTGTTATACTTTTAATTGAATCAAATAAATCCTATTTTGAGATTACAACGTAGTTAGTACAGTCTTGTTTGTGTATTTTCTGTATGTTTTAGTCTTATTTCAAGCTATTTCCTACCTATATATCCGGTTGGCCCATGAACTGGTACAATATACGTTTCAAATAAATTTTGGGTGTGCTAAGGTGACCATCATGGCATCATGGGAGGAGGCGAGGAGCTATGAAGTTATGGTACGTAGGCAAGTGTACATTACCACAAATTTTAAAAGAAAAAGCTCAAGTATTAGTACGTGTAAAATATAAACGAAATTCTACCTTAAGTCCTATTAATATATTGTATCGCACTTATTGCACAGTCGGTCTATGTTTTTGAATTTGAACATGTTTGGGACATGATTATTGTGTTTAAGCCTATATATGTTTTTTTGTTAATGTTTCTGATGATTAAAATTGCCAGATATTGACAAAAATGATAAGGAAACATTAATCAAGTAATACAAGTGAACAAACTTAAATACATAGAGCCCGTTTGGAGACCTCTTTTTTCGGCTTATCAGGCTTATCAGCCAGCTTTTTCACCAAACACGTAACTTTTACTTTTGTGTGCTGAATTGTGTAATAAGCAGAAAAAGTAAGGTTGGAGTTACTTTTCTGGCTGTATTGGCTGAAGTTACTGTAGAGGACTATTTTAGCTATTTTTACATGTAATTTTTTCTATAATTTATTGATAAAATATATTTTTAAAATATTTTTTTCTTGAATCAGCAGAATCAGCCAAAACAGCCACTTCAGCCAGAATTTCATAAATTTCAGCAGAATCAGCCAAAACAGCCGATTTTCGTGCTACCAAACGGGCTCATAGAGTGAATGTGGAACTGACATAAACTCATAAGATCATAATGAAATTAATTCAAATACTATCCTCCGTTCTCTTTTAATCGCAACATTGGACTTTTTTCACTATTCACATATTCTACTTTGACTATATTTTATTCATTAATGTATTATAAATTAATTTTTAAAAAAATATTATTAAATCCTTCTCATTCTAAATTTTCAAAATATGAATTTTTTAAATTTTTTACTAATAAGGAATGAAAGATATTAATGGTCAAACTTGTGCGTTGGCAAGCGTAAAATGTTGACTGTTGCAATTAAAAGGGAACGGAGGAAGTATATATTTGGTGAAACTTTGTCGTGGGAACCAACGGTGGCGAAGGGTAGTTGGGTATAGTAGTAGTCATGCGGCGGTGAACAGTGACAGAAAGAAACTTTACTACAGGTTCTTTTGTCCAAGAACACATAATGACTACGGAGTACTCCGTACTATTTAAGGGATTTTAAACAAGGATTCCTATTTTTAGACCATTTGTAGTGGTCAAGAGTCCAAATAGTTAAATTTGGACTCCGTCAATTTGAAAACAGTGTTTAGACTCTGTCAATACTGTTTTTCCCTGCATCCGTGCACCGTCAATAAAATACACTCTGCATATTTTATACATATGAATTTAGTAAAATATTAATTAAATTATTATAAGTAATGTTTTACTTTTAATTTTTTTCCCTGAATAATTATGAAATAAAAAATACACATTTTGATGTAAAAATAAATAATTTTCATAATTTTTTTTAACATTTTTCTGTTAAAAAAATGAATTTGTTTAAGTGAAGTTTGATTATAGAATATTCAATTATTTCTGAAGGTTTCATGAATTAAGAATTCATGTTTCATTTTTTTAGCTCAATAAACTGTAACAGTTAAAATTTCAAAATAAAATCATTTTATATATCACATATGGATGTCATATGAAAGATGATAAAAATTTATGAATTTTGATATATTTTTTGAAAAAATTAAATGACAAATAAAAAAGTTATATAAGTTTTAAAAAAATTGGGATATAATGATGCAAGGGTGGCGCCAGCATGACATCATCCTCACCAAAAGAAAACATGTGGCCGTGCCTTACTTTTCCTTTTTTCTTTATTTTTCCTTTTTCCACTCCTCTAAACTCACCCTCTATATTTAACACCCTCCATCCCCTTTCCCACTTTTAATACCCCATATAAACCACCACTACACACAATTAGGAGTCCAAAAGTTCCACATTTAACATTTTGGACTCCTAATACCTCACCACTACAAATGGTCTTACACTTCAATCAGGTTCTACTCCTATTATATAGTTCACACAATTAATTAGAAAGACATTTTCTAATTAATTTTTGTATAGTTGTGCTCGTAATAGGGAAAGGCGGACATCTCCCTTGCATTAGGGTTTTGAGTTTTGCCGTCTTTGGTGCCGCTACCATTTTTTTAGCAGAGAAAGGGAACCGCTCGCAAGTAATAGACCTGTATCGATATCTCGCTGTGGCGGCCAATGAAGATAACTCTGTGGTAGCCGAGGAAGGAAGGAGGAGAGGCGTCTAGAGAGCAGGATGACCCAATGGATAAACTGATCGAGAAGTATGTTAAACTGGACATCAGTGAAGCACAGAATGAACTGGTGATCGATGATGAAGAAGAAGAGGCGGCCAAGCCGGTGGAAAATCGTTTTGGTGCGTCAACAATCATAACGATGGTCCAACCTCCTCCTGAACCACCGCCAAGGATTGAACAAGGTGCTAGGGTTCAAGAATTTTATTTTTCTTATTTATATTTCTTCGTGTTTCGCTTTTATTTGGATCTTTACTCTGTTTTGGACTTTTGGTTATGCCATGTTTTTCCGGCAAAAAAACTCTAGAATCTAGGACAGGTGATGATGAGTCTGGTCTACAAGTCATTGACTTAGTTAAGTCCAAAGTGGGATCAGAGAATTATATTGCTTCTACGGAGGTGATTAATTTAAGTGTTGTTCTAGCTTACGTTCTGTTATGATAATTTAATCAAGTTTCGTTCAAAAATAATAATAATTTTTGTATAGTTATATGTGAACCGATGAATGCTATAAACGAAGTACGATAGTATATACTACGTATGTAGTATCCGTCTACCCATCTACTCAACAAAGGAGGCCATTATATCAACTGATGTAAAAAAGAGGAAATTTTCTCATTCCATTAAAGCCAAAAGAGGCTTGAATGCTTGATAAACATAATGCATATGAAAAACTAGGAGAGTTTGTAAAGTAATCAATACTTAAGATAACCGTTAAGATATGAGGTTGTATATTAAAAACTCAATTTTTTAGAAAGAGTAACTCAAAGTTTAATAGGAAAAATGGTCAAATACACCCTTCAACTATCACCAAACCATCACATAGACCCATTACTAATAAAAACATCATTTAAGCACATTAACTTAATAAAATCAATCAATTTGGCCCAATTTACCGGGAAGCAACCTTCTCAACCGGTTAAAGTTAGATTTAACTTTTTTTTTTCTGTTTTCCTTTCCGTTTCTTCCAGCAAGTTTATTTCAGCCTATCCTAATACTCAGTATATACTACGTATATATATGCTCCTAGCCAACCCTGCCACCCAACAACTCTGTATTGCCAAGCCCTGTAAAACTGCCACTGACCCATTCTTTGTCCCGTCCATAGACCTCTCCAAACCGGCAACCGCCAAACACCTCCTCGTAAAAGCCTGCGAGGAGTTCGAGTTCTTTAAGGTGGTCATCCATGGAGTTCCCGCGGAATTCATAACCAGGCTTGAAGCAGAGGCCGTCAAGTTCTTCTCCTCATCTTTTCAAAAAGAAAAAGCATGGCCGCCTGACCCCTTCGGATACACGGAGTATATAAGAATATAATAAGAAGGTCGGAGTAATTGGCGATATTGGGTGCGTAGATTAATATACTTCCTATATACTTTGTATACAAGTATATTATATATATATACAGTGGAGGAGCAAGGGAGGGGCATGAGGGGGCAAGCGCCCCCGCTTCGAGCAAAAAAATTTAGTACTACTACTTATAATATATTAATGCGCTCCCTTCTTTTTTCAAAAATAAATATCAATTAAGGATAATTTAGATAAACTGTTAAAATAAAAGGCAGAGTCTTTCAGAAAACATACATGTCTCTAGGAATACAAGTATTTGCTGCAACATACCTCATTCATTTGAATGAAAGTGTGAATTGTTTTAGACCTTTAATGACACGCAAGCGGTTGACTTTTCGTGGTTATAGTGAGCAAAAAAATATTTAGTTTGACAAATATGTTGTCACATTTCTTTCAACAAAAAGATCAAAAGATTCTCGAGATTATATTGGATTCCCTCCTTAGTGGAAAAATTTATTAGAATTTTAGAATTCTCAGAGATGTCCAAGATTCTCTATATGTGTGCAAGGAAGTATTGAATGTTCTAGAGTAATAATGAGGAGATTTCTAGAGAAGTGTGAAACTCATTAAAATCGTGTGGAAGTGTGTTGAAGCTTCTAGAACATTTTGAAGAATCGTGGTGTTCTCTAAATCCTTCTAGAAAATTAGAGAAGCTTGTGGATACTTCTTGGAAGAATCTAGATGTGTAGTGATGTATGAAAAATTCCGGAGAAGCTTTGATGAGATCAGTATAGAGAAGCTTCTTGTTTCTATGTTAACCTTGAAAAGAGCTCTTGAGTGAGTGAAAGTGAGAGTCTCCTTGAGAGACGAGAGTAAGAGCCTTCTTGTGAGAAAAGAAAGCTCAAAGATATTGCTTGAAGAAGTGTATGTGATCGAGTTATGTAGAGTGAAGTAGTCTCAGATACAAAGAGTGAGTGAGAGTAATACAAGGTGATATTGTCAAATTGAGTTTTTGTATTATGAGTGTGTGAATATATAAGTGTACAAGAGTCTATGAGCTCGTGATCCTGAAAAAGACTGGGGATCATGTTTTTCCAACATGAAGTATATTTTTTTAAGGAAATCAACTCAGTTCACATTAATCAGATCGAAGGACAAACCTTCAACAATACAAGAAGGGGGAACACCCAATCAAGTCTGACAATCAGACGTAAACTGGCTGCTCTATCCAACTCATGAGTCACTATGTTTGTTGATCGTTGAACAAAAGAGAAAGAAATATTAGCAAAAAATCTACTGATAAGTCTAATATCCTCAACTATTATACAACATTTTGAACAAATTAAAACTCGAATGATTGATCTATCTAAATTATAGATATGAGTCAAGCAGTATGTAATGAATTATTTTGTGCCAACACATTACATTTTTATTTATTTTATTATATTTTGAGCAAATACATAGGAATTCCTAGCTTTCAGTACGCCCCCATTCAAAAAATCTCTCGCTCCGCCACTGTATATACAGAATCCTACTCCGTTTCAGACTTGTAGCTACCTTGACTGAAACCTCACTGTAATACTTCGTATGACTATATAAGGAGTAAATGGGTTTTGTATTTGATGTCTTAAGCCAGGGAGTAAATGTGCGTGAACGTATAGAAATTGAACTCATGTAACGGATTGTTTCACGGTAATCAAATGCATTAAGTCTTGAGAGTTGAATGGCAAAAATAAAACTGATCCACATTAAGAATTCCATCAATAGCATTAAGGATATTTATTTGAATTTGAATTCAATTTCATAACCCAATCAGCTATTGCATTGTTCCCACAGTTAGAGAGTCTCTAGAATTAGACCTTTAAATCTATCACTTATAATCTGTCCGATCAGGTGCACATATAAGTGAAAAAAAATTAAAATGTCACATCATCTTATATGATACTTGAACAACGTTCCTTATCACATAATGATTATAAATAATCTTATGAGACTGTTTATCCTCTAATACAGAACAAATAAATCCATTGTTTTATTAATACATCACTTTATATTCTTTAAAACTATGGATATTAATTTAAATCCAAATATGTAAATTATTCTTTGATGTATTATCAGTCTCCTCTCCATATTTAATACAATTATATCTTAGGACACAATAATGTGACCCAAGAAAATAATATTTATATGATCATATTTCCAACAAAAAACCACTTGTGTCTTTGTGCTTATGTATATAATAATAATAATATAGAGTACACACACATATCCGGTGACATACGGGCATACGGCCATGGAGGAATGCAGGAGGACACGTTTGTTGAGAGCTATGGGAAAGTACCGATTAAGCGAAGGGATTGGATATTTTAAAGAAGAAAAGAAAAAATGAAAAAAATAAGTAAAAAAGAAAAGAAAAAACTAGCAGGGAGCCAGGACCGGAGGTTAGGAGGTTGGGACGTTGGGTTGTGGGGACTGGGAAAGGAGTGGCGTAAGTGAAGCAAAAAAGAAAAAGAAAAATAAATGTGAGAGAAAAGTTAGAATTGACCGGCGATTAAAGATTACTTTTACGTTACTTGGCTCAATTGATTATTTTTTAAGGGTAAGTGGGTTTATAAGATGCTTTTATTAGTATATGGGTCTATGTGATGGTTTGGTGATACTTGAATGGTCTATTTGACCCCTTTTTCAAGTTTAATATAGTACTATATTACTTCTTAATTTACAGGTATGAGACTTTATCAATAACATTCCTAAACTAACTCAAAGTAAAGCTCCTGTAAATCTGCACATAACTCATATACTAATAAGACCATCAATCCTTTTTTCTCACTTTTGATATCCTTTAAATGAACACATTTAGGATGCCAAGAAGTTGTATGTTTAGCGTTTTGAACTCCTTATACATCCTCATTCCAAATAGTCTTAAGGAGTACGTGCGATGCATGTGGTTTCCACAATACGATAAAGGTGCTTGCTCACATAAACCGCATAAATAAAAAGACGACCCATCAAGATTGATGCTTTAAATGAACTTATATTTGTGCTAATGTGCTCCGTTATATTTTTGATGGAGCTAGTGACTAAAATAAGGGGTTGCTGGATGTCTACTGTCTAGCTGGATTAGGAAGGGAAGTCTTAAGTAGGTTAAAATTTCAATGGAATCACTAAATTAGCCGATTGCATATTGATTATTATCAGACTGCATGGTACTCGGAGCATCTTCAATGCTAAAACGTTAACGGTGCATACGTGGCATGAGAGATAACCAATTAAAAAATAATAAATAGAATATCTCTCTCCTTATCTGAAGGATCTTACATCATTTTGGTAAGTTTTTTTTCACAATGTCAAACACAGTGTCTAGATGTAGACATTGTGGTTGACATTGCAGAGAAAAACTTACTAAAAATACATAAGACCGTGGAAAGAAAGAGAGAAATGTCATAAAATCAAGCTTTTGTGTGTATCTCTCTCATGCCGCATGTGCACTGTGCACATTGTAGCATTGGAGGTGCTCTCATCGTCTAACCGACCTTACGACATACAAATTCGATGGTGGTGTGATTATTGGTAATTGGCAATGAGCTTTTAATATTGTCATATTTAGTCTAGTTTAATATCTAATTACATTTTTATCTAGTGGTATTTTAATGGTATTGGAGAAAAAACTCTCATTGCTTTCTTGGTTTTTTATGGTTCTTTCATAATTATACTCTCTCAACTTTTTCCTTTAAAACTTTACCAACTTTCTTCTTCTGGTTACGTTGTTAGACTAATTTTATCATTTTATATTTTAATTAAAGAATTTGTAGTTCTCGTTAATTTTATCTTATTTACACAACTTTCAATCATACACCTTTTACTTTATTTTTTCTTGTACGTATCTAATCCAACCAAGTTTTAAGGAACCGAGCATCCATTTATGCATATGAACAAAAGCATTTTATTAGTGATTTGATAAATACTACGTATTAGATATAATCATTTGAGAAAAGTACGGAAAAGTACTTGTGGTTGGGCCCGTTTTAGGATAGAGTCATGTTTTTCAGTCTTTATCAAAGTGGTTCATGTGTTTGAATTCCGTTATCACAAGAGGGTAACGCCGTTAAAACCGTCTGAAAAAGACCGTTAAAAGTAACTCCGATTTTCAAAAGTGTCTAGAAAATTAAAACAAAAATATAGGAAGGTGTGGCTCAATAAGACGACCGCTAGGCCATCTTTCCTTTTTTGTTTTCAGCCAACCTTGTCACCGGAAAGTCCACCGGAAAGGTGATATTATTGTAATCATTTAAAAATAATAATTCAAACAGATCTGAAAAATGCGAAGGCAAAGGTGGTTTGGAGGTCATCTTGGCGATGCGCACCTTTCGGTATTTTTCTTTTAATTTCCGGGCACTTTTGAAAATCGGAGTTACTTTTAACGGTTCTTTTCAAACGTTTTTAACAGCGTGACTTTGTTGTGATAACGAAATTCAAACACATGAACCACTTTGATAAAGAATGAAACACTTGACCCTATTTGAAAACGGACTCAACCATAAGTACTTTTTTTCCCCTTTCCCTATAATGGTTTTTATTCTTAAAGAAAGGTTGAGGTAGGGCCGTAGGGGTCAAGCCAAACCTTGCGCACCCCAAATTTAAAGAGAAAAATTAATTATTAGTGAGTAAAATTTGTGTAAAACTTAATCCAAATTATTTTTATACCAGCCTATTGCCTACTCCATAGTAGAGTATATATTCGTCGCTCAGGATGCCCTTGAAAAACACTCCGGTCAACTCTTTCCTCCCAAAGTCTCTTGCTCTATTCTAATTGGTGAAACCGATCAATCAAATCATCAAAGTATAGAGCTAATTTTGGGGAATGTGGGATTGTAATCCGTACTTTATACGTAATAAAGAAGCAAAAACTACTGTATAACTTCGTATTATTTTATCATGAGAAAAGGTAAATCGTGCTTAACTAACTGTGCAGTTAACCGTTGACCCCTGCATGCCAATAGCCAAGTCGTGCGCTATACGTACAACCGCCGCCGCAGATATCTCAACAACGGCGCGCACTCACATGAAGCTGGGCCCATCTTTTCCGAGGTCAGTAGCGACTATTCCGGATGCCGGAACCGACGCGTATCTGGCGGAGAAGTTCCGGCAGCCGTGCTCATTTTCCCACTCCAAATTCCGGCCCTTTTCCTCCGGCCCTTGATCGAAGTTCAGCGAGTAGCTCTGAGGATCGTACCAGAAACTTTCTCGCTGCCCCCTGCTTCCGGCTCCCTGTATCCGGCGAATGAAGGTCCTCCATTCCTGGAGCATTTTCTGGGCGCTGATTCCCCGGATCTTATACCACCACCTCAATCCGCGACGGCGCTGCCGCTTCTGGGATTGTATTTCCGCCGTCTTGCTTGCCGCTTCCACATCGTCGTATGAATAATATCCATTGTCTTCCATTGGAGTATATATATGTAACAGAGACGGGTTTTAACAGAAATTCATAGACACAGCTTTTGATCGGAATACAAAATTTATAATTGCGAATTTACTGCGGAGAATACTGAATCCGGCATGTTGCGATTGAAATGAATACAAAATAGGGAAGGGAAAAGGGGCAAATAAGCCCTCGAACTAATCAAAAAAGTGCAAATAAGCCCTTATGTAGGAGGTTCCGTCCGGCCATCGTCATTTGGGGAGGTTCCTGGTGGAATTTTTTGATGAATTTTTTTGAGCATGTTATTCATTAAGTCTAATTTAGTCATACCGAATTTCAGCTAAAAATTCAATCGGGAAGACAGTCAAATGAATTTTTGAAGATAAATGCGCAGTTCACTAGTGGAAAAACATCATTTTGAGGCGCTTAAAATTTGACACGGACGGCGCTTCTAAGCGCCTGGAATTTTTCCGACGCGAATCGTTTATAGAGGCATTTTTGTTATAGCAAGCGCCTCAAATACTAAAGTTAATTTCACCGATGCCGACGCTTTTTTGTAGATAAGCGCCACAAAACATAGTCACAAGCAAGGCGCTTTCTAGCCAGAAGCGCCTCAGGCTCTGAATGTATTTCATATCCAGGGGACCACCTTTGATGATTAAACTCTCCATTTGTTTAAAAAATTCATTTTTTTATTTTATTCAGCTTTCTACGTGTACTTCCAATGATAACACAAACTTTCTACGTGTACTTCCAAATATCGCAAATTATACCGTGGGATCGTTGCACCGTGAGCACGGTGCACCCGATCCCAAAACGGTACCGTTTATCAAATAAAACAGAGCAAATTTCTTGCACCGCTAAATAGACTGTCCGATCAGCTGATTTAGTGTAGGGGAAGTCCGCATCTGGAATAGCTTGGCTCCAACCTGGGAATTGCTTGGCTCCAATCTTTGACTTTCTGGTGCATCTCGAACTGCAAGACCTGCTGCGCCGCGTTCTGATTTCAGGGTTGATGTTGGGGTCTCGCCGGTGCTTCACTGAGGAAGATGACAGGATTGCCTGTGGGATTGTCTGAACTGAGTGCGCTTGGTTTTGCTTTAATGGGGATGTTTTTGTTTGAGATCTGGACGGTTAGTGGAAGTTGCCTTCAATCGGAGAGTGGAGTGGATGGTCTGGGTGGGTTGGTTTTAGTTTGTTTGACAGGATGAAGACGATTACCACCATTCGAAGCTTGGGGATGGAATATTTTTATTTGGGCTCAAGTTACATGTGTATTAAAGCAATTTACATTTCCATTTGGTTCAAGTTACATTTTCATACATACAGGTTACATATCAATTTGATAGAAGTTACACTTTGTAACACGTGGTTTACATTTCGTGTATGAAAGGTGAGAGAACCATTGAAGGGTGTAATATGAGTTACATTCAGGTATCGAGTTACATTTGTAGTTAACTGAAATTACATTTTATAACAACGTGAGTTACATTTCAATACACGCGATTTACATTTTACATAACGCGAGTTACACCATAATATAATGCGAGTTACACAACATAATAAGTCCTTGTTATTAAAAAAATAATTTTCTTAAAAAAATCTTTTTTATAGCACTGCTATTAAAAACAAAACATATACTCTATTTATGTAAAAAAAATAGGGAATTAGACAAGTTAATATTTTATTTTTCATTGAAATTAATATTTTATTTTTTATACCGAAGTATTATGTATTGGACAAGTATGTGAGTTACATACCGAAGCACTTTGACTTAGGGCTGGACTCGGTTCGGGCCGGGCCCGGTTCGGGCCTTGAACCGGCCGGGCCTCGGTTCACCAAAGGGAGGGCCCGGGCCCGAACCGGCAGGTGACCGGTTCCGGGCCGGTTCCGGGCCAGACCGGGCCGGTTCCGGGCCGGTTCACCCGCCCCATTTTTTTTTTTTTGATTTTTTGGCTTCTCTTATTTAACCCCCTACCCCTCCCCCTCAACCCCAAACCACCCCAAACCACCTCAAATGGCCCAAAATACCTAATCCAACCCAAAAATTAAAAAAAATTCAAAAAAAAAATTAAAAAAAAATTATTCCGGCCCGGACCGGGCCCGAACCGGCCGGGCCGGTTCACCAAATAGAGGGCCCGGGCCCGGAACCGGTTTCCACCGGGCCGGTTCGACCCGAACCGCCAGTGGACCGGGCCACCGGGCCGGGCCGGTTCACACAGTAACCGGGCCGGGCCGGTTCCGGTTCGGGCCGCCCGGCCCGAGTCCAGCACTACTTTGACTAGACTTAAGTTGCATTCATCAATTACGTGCGTTACATTTTTTTACACGTGAGTTACATCATTGTGCTACTGGAACAAAGAAAACAAAAAATACTGTTCACGCGTGTACTGTTCACGCGAATTTTTCTTTTAAATAATTAAAACTGCGTCGTTTTTTAATGTGGAGCACGGTGCTCACCGTGGGATGATCCCACGGTATAGGAACTGTCCAAATATGCAAGCTCTAATCATTTCAATGAATTTTAACACCACCCCAATATAACAAAACAATGATTACATTAAACCACAATATAATAATAGCGTATTTTCAATAATATCTACGTATACACCAGTATAATTAAATTACTACAAATTTACTTCAATATAAAATTTACATATTCATAACTATGTTTTCAAAGCCTATATTCCACTCTTGAGCATACTGGTTTTTCTTGAATGCCAATCTTGGAACCGTTCTGCTTAATCAATCTGTAATGAGTATAAGTGAACAAAAATTATGCATACTAATTCAAGACTTCATTAAATGTAAATCACTCATATGGTTCAATATACCTTTTCACTTTCTTGTAACATAAGAAGTATTGACTTTCAACGACCAGCAGCAATTTCATGAATTCTATAACATCAATTAAAATACACACACATGTTAGAACAAAAAATTCTAATACAATTATACAAACTCTGTCAATGAAGAAGTTTATTATTCTACATTCTAAACAGATGGAGGAAAAAATGAACTTACAGACTTGACAAATTAAGCCCGGGTGATGGAGGACAAATATCCAAACTCAAAGGCAGAGGACAAATATCCAAAATGCAAAAGTATTCCTATAGCAACATCGGGCAACATATATACAAAATATAAGACAAACACGTGAATCTAATAACATAAGATATCATTATATTCAATCAAGCACCATGAAGTCATATGAAAGGCCATGATTCAGCCTCTTTCTTTTAATACACACAAACATAATTATATCGGAGCAATATACATATTTAGTCTAAAGGCATTATACCTTTTCCACATACCACATCAGACCATGAGGCAGCCTCATCAAACAACAATCTTAATTGATTTTTGCTTCCTCTATTCATCCTCCCCAAATCGGTGATGACTACTAGAGCTAAACCTGGAATAAAATTGTGCGAGATTTCTCAGTGTAATACCATTATACTAAGAAGCATACAAACTGAATCTATTTCATACAAAATCTAAGTTTTAGGCTAATAGGCGTAAGTCTGTGTAGGAAAATAGTGAAAAACATAACGTGCTTCTTTTCCAGAAAAATATTCTCTCAATGTAATATGCTCAAATAAAAAATCACTTTCAAGGGAATCAAGAATTTCATATATCATTACCGGAATAAAATGATAGCAGAGACGGTGGCTGCACGACCGAGTCACGACATGGATAAGGGCGGCGTCAGAAGCACAACAACGAGGAGCACAACAAGCTCGTGATGGCGGTGCCGGAAGCTAAGGCAGAGAGGAGGAACCTGATCTCATCGAGCTTGGTCGTTTCTTCATCTACGCTCATCTGGCCGGCTACTTCTCCCAGATCTAATCGGCTAATCTGAAAGTTTACCAAGTGGGGCGGTTATGTAAGATAAAAATGGCGAAGCATCTAGGGTTTGTGATCGAAAAATGTACACCGTAAGATAAAAGCACAATGCTCTGAAAAAGGTGTACTCCTTTTCCAAACGTATTTTTAAATCTTAATCAGGACGGAATAAGGAAATAGAGGCGCTTACATAAATAAAAACGCTGCGCGTATCTTGAAATCGCATTTTAATTAGAATCGTTAAAGTATTTCAGGCGCTTATTCTTCAGAAGCGTCGCACGCCTCTTTAAATAAAAATTCATATAATTCGTTTAGTGTTTTAGAGGCGCTTCAACCTATAAGCGCCTCTAATGAAGCGCCTCCCTTTGATGTTTTTCCACTAGTGGTTAAACAACGCAGTATATTTCCGAAAATCATTTGAGTGCTTTCCCGGTTGAATTTTTAACTGAAATTTGGTATGGCTAAACTAGACTTAATGAAGAAGATGCTCAAAAAAATTTATCAATAAAATCCACCGAGAACCTCCCTAAATGATGATGATCGGACAGAACCGCCTACAAAAGGGCTTATTTGCACTTTTTTGATTAGTTCGAGGGCTTATTTGCCCCTTTTCCCTACAAAATATTTGCATTAATTACTCCATAACAGGGAGTATTTATTTTTTCAATCTGTACTAAACTTGTAACATGCCTTCAAAATAATATACTCCCTCCGTTTCAGTGTGTTTGACACACTTTACTTTTTTGGACATTTCAAAATGAATGCCACACTTCCCATTTGGTAAACAAAACTGTGTCAAACAGTGCCAAACAGTGTTAAACAGTGTTCAAACAATGCCAAACAGTGTCCAAACAGTGCCCAAACAGTAAAATTTACCCCTTAGTAAATGTTTTCCTTAAATGTTGACAAATCAAACTATGTCAAACAAACTGAAACGGAGGGAGTATGTATCAAAGTCGGCAATATTTAGCAAAATGAACAATAAAGACTGCATTAATTTACTTATTTAACATAGGCACATCAAATATGGAGGATAAAAGATCTAATATTTTATATTTCCATCTGCATTGAATGTTAAACAAATATTGGATCGGCCATAAAGGTTGTTTTTATCGTTTATTATCTTTGTTATTGTGGCCGAAATGTCACAATAACGAGATGTGAAACGAAATGTCACAAAACTATATATTTTAAACTGTACCTTTCTATTAAGTACTTGTATTTTTATAACATCTTCATTTCGTTTATGTTAAACGAGATGTCACAAAACTATATATTTTAAACTTTTTTTCAAATAAGGAGATAGAAGAACTAATCTGTTCGATTTTAAATCCTAGAATGACTAATATCTTAAAAATGACCACATCTATTATTAAATAAATAAATTATAACAATGCGGAGTTATAGTTTTTAAAACACAACAAAACAAGCCACAGATGAAATCTTAGGGATATAAATAGGCATTAAGCAATTTCTTTTTTGTTTAAATAAAGATGGTTTAAATAATGCAACCGAGAATTATAAAAAACTTGGCTCTTTCCTCTTTTAATAGGGAAATATAGCCTGTGGACATGTTTAAATATTTAGTTAAAAAACAAAACATTCTCAATAAGTAAGAATATGAATAATCAACCAATGTTATAATCAACTATATAAGTGACTTTTCGTTAGTTATAATTACTCATACATATGCAATGCGTGTGCGCACACATATGGTAAAACTAAAACAAAATTATTTTATCCCGTGCTCGTGCATGAGTAAAGTTTAGTGAGCAATTTTGCTTTATTCCATCATATTCCCAAGCCTCAAAATAGTGAGTCTTTAGTTCCATTGGAGATGATGAAAAGTAGAAATGAAAGTGGAATACATGAGAAATCCTTTTTAAACACTCCCAAATCATTTCAATAAAATTATGTAAAGAAGTTTTTAATAACTTTCAAATCATTTCCGAAAATGGAAAAAAGATTGAAACATCATAAAATGAAGTGGGAAAAATATAAAAAGCAAGATTGTATGTGTTAAAATTTGCTAAAAAACACAACTGTCTTAATGTTATCTCAAATTTATGTTCACCCTTCTGTCGGAATCAATTTTTTTTGATATGATATATGAGAGCAAAAGTTATCTTTTATTTAAGTGTAAATATTAACATAATCTTGATCTATTTTGATTGAGAGTTTCAGCACTGTGAAAGTTAATTAATTACATACCAAGTATAGCAATCATATCATGACACTAAAAGTGATGTTTTTAGGAACTAGATATATAAGTTAGACTATGTATAAGGGGTAATTCTATAACTCATGAATGTAACTTTAATATTGTAATATTTGGTCATGAAAATTGAGATATTTTAATATAGTGACATTTGGTCATGAAAATTGAGATACTTTAAAAAAATAATATTTGTTCATGAAAATTGAGATGCTATTGGTCATGAAAATTGCCATCATTATCATTTCTAAATATGGGATATTTGTCTTTTTAGTTTTCGTTGCATAGTTTGACATGTTCATGTTTCGATTATTAGTCATCATTTTATGTGAGAATCTTTTTACAGATTTAATTCACCTCACCTTCTGATAAAAATTGTCTGCTAAAAGTCTAAGCCCTGCAACCTTTCTTCGTTTAAGTTGCATTTATTTTACTTAATAAGATCATAATATTACTCCTCAATAACTCAATCTAATGACATTTAAACTAACCGCTACTAAGCGTATTATGCAGTCTGTTGTCGTCGTCATGGTTTTCATTAAAGAAACAAATCGAATGATGAATTTGCTAAATTCTAAATCATAGAAGGACTAATATCTTCAAAAAAGTTGAATACACCCATTATTAAATAAATTACAAAATGTGTAGTTAGTTTTGAAAAAACAGCAAGACACAAATGAAATCTAATGAATAAAAATAGGCATTGAACAATTTTTTTTGTTTACATAAAGATGATTAAAAAGACTAATTTCATTTGGATGCAATTGCAAATTATAAAAAAAATGGCTCTTTTAATTACAAAATGTAAACTGAGAACATATTTAGGTAATTTGTTCAAAAATAAGATATACTCAATAAATGAAAATATGAATTATCAATCAACTTTATAATAGATTAAATAAGAAATTTTCCGTTAGTTATAATAACGCATACATATGTCAATGCGCGTTCACACATATTACAACTAAAAACCCAAAATACCAGTGGACGTAGCTCAACTGGTAGCGAGGGAGTGCCACAAGGGTTATGTCACGGGTTCGAATCCCGGCAACTGCGATGAGGAGTTATTATGCTGAAAAATGCATAGGGCTTCTGCAAGTACCGGGGACAGAGCCCCACTTTCTATCTGTCAGATTGTGATTATAGTCCAATTTACATCTTCCCATCGTGCCATCCGGTCGGTGTTGGGGGGCCCTCATGAATGGGGTGTCATCCTTTACTAAAAACCCAAAATCATTTTATCTCATGCACGGCACGGGTAAAGATACTAGTATTTTATATTTCCATCTGCATTGAATGTTAAACAAATATTGGATCGGCCATAGAGGTTGTTTTCATCGTTTATAATCTTCGTTCAGGCTTATATGAGATATTCGTGTTTCGTTATGAGAAACTTTAATTGGGACGTTCAAAAACGGCAAATGACACAATTATGTTGGGACAGAAGGAATACTTCTTAGGGAAAAGAGGCAAATAAGTCCATGTACTAACAAAAAAAGGTCAAATAAGCCTTTATATAAGTGGTCCTGTTCGGCCGTCGCCATTTGGGACAGTTCCCAGTGTACTTTTTTTATGAAATTTTTTGAACATCTTATTCATTAAGTCTAGTTTACTCATACCAAATTTCAGTTAACAATTCAATCAGGAAGGCATTCAAATGAATTCTTGAAGATAACTGTGCATTACAAGCGCAGTTATCTTCAAGAATTCATTTGATTGCCTTCCCGATTGAAGTTTTAGCTTAAATTTGGTATGAGTGAACTAGACTTAATGAATAAAATGCTCAAAAACTTTCATCAAAAAATTCCACCAAGAATCACTCCAAATGGCGACGACCGGACAGAGCCTCTGAAATAAGAGTTTATTTGACCTTTTTTTGTTAGTGCGTGGACTTATTTGCCCCTTTTTTTGCCTCCGAAATAATGTTTTAAGTCCATTTATGTAAGAATATGTCATCCACCCTTTATTCATATGATATAAAGGGTATAGCTCACCCTTAATCTCATTCTCTTTCTATCAAAGTGAGATGAAAGCTCAATCTACATCCTCCCAAATAATTGTCTCGCCAATTATAGACTTCTAGAGTTCTAGGACCCTAGGAGAAGGAGTGTCATCCTTTCGCTTTACATAAATCATGGTCCATGGAGTTGTTTTTATTCCACTCTGCTCTGTCAAAAAGTTGATTTTTTAAAATCATTAATATTTTCACTCCAAATTTGAAAACTTAACAACCTTTTTGTTATCACCAATTGGAGTTCGCGTGATCGCGTCCTTTATTAACATTTTTTCTAACATTGAAGTGCAGCACTAATGAATCAAAAGAAAGTGGAATGCAAACTCATCGCTATACTAATAATAACAATAACAACATAAACAGGGGCGGAGCCAAGGGGGGGTCAAGGGGGTCAGCCGACCCCGCTGAAAGTTTGAGAGTATAGAGCTCTGAAATACCTTCGATTTGATATATTATGGCCCTCGTAACTCATTACGAGTAAAAAGTTATGACTTCTGGAAAATCAGCACTATCTAAACGTAAAATCAGCAAAATTTGATGCATAATATTGATTATTTTCCCAAATTTTATGAATAACGTATAATTAATTCATTAGTTACGTAACATGATTCAGAAACAACGCAAAGACAGTATATATTATTGCTTACGAATGCTTATTTATCTAAACTACAAATGAAATATTCAATTCGAACATTGTCTAAAAACGATGTACCGTTTTTATTTTGTACATAGTTGATTTTCGACCCCCCTGACCCGTTTTTCTGGCTCCGCCACTGAACATAAAGACAATATAAACACGCAATCTAAGGGAATGCCACAGGTTAAGCAGTTTACTACACAACAATTAAAGTGCTGAGCGCATATGCTAAGCCTAATCAGTGTCTAATCCATCTTGCTTCACATTAACATACATAAAACTACTTCAAACTTTCAAACAAAAGAAAATAGTGCCTACCACATAAAGACATTTAACTCATCATGGTAAGTGTATTCCTTACATGCCCAATCTGACCTTTCCCAGCATCTTCAAAATGAACTTTCAAAAACAACTTCCCCGCACTGTCTGCACTGCCAGTGTCCAAAGCCACTGCCCCAAAAAGTGCACGGAAAGCACCACAGACGACAGACGGTGTTGTGGAATTTGTTTTGGACGAAACCCGAACTATGTTCTGCAAACCTAAGCTCTTTCCATCCACTGCACATGAAGTCTCAACCTTTGACACTTCAGAAATATCCTGGTTCAGATCCTTGGACGAGATATCGATGTTTTTTACCAGCATTTGCATTGAGACTGAAGTCTCGATTACTCCCTCCCCCAAGATACTCAAAGCTTTGTTGTTCTCCTCTGAGTATGATGAGTGTGTCATAGCACGTCGAAGCAATCCAACATTCTGAAATGTATAGCTGTATGTACCAACCAAACATAAACAATAACAATGTGCACCTTCAGCTAAAACACAGAATGATTTACACATTGACGTCAAAGGCTTACTCCAGTTTATTTTAATAATGCATGAATTGACTACCTAGGGCCGTCTATTAGGGAATGCAAGAAGTGTCATAGCATTTAGTGTCCAAATTTAGGCAAGGCGAATCCTCTTTTTGTACAACCTAGGTGCAAGATTATATCTTGATAAAATCTTCTGTGTCCCAGGAAAAGGCTGGGTTTTAGCTTATAAATTTGCCAAATTAGTGGGTCTAGTTTTTGTTGTCTCAAAACAAGATTTGAAGTTATTAAAGTTGGAATCTTAGTTTTCACAGAATAAGTTTTTTGGACTTGTTAATTTACCAAATTATAGGCTTATGTGTAAAGTAATCCCACACCAACCAAATATAAAGATACAGAGTATTAAACAACAAATGAGACTCTAGACTATTCGTCCAATAAGATTTACCATTCAGGATAAATTATTTCATAATATAGTATGAAGAGTCAGTTACACACAAAAGATCAATGAGGAAAATTCAAGATGTATCTGCTTGGAGGAGTGATCATGCTACACCAGCCAAATATAAAAATGCTAACAAACGTATAAGGGCTTTGGGTACTTGGGCTCATTCCCATCCGGGAGCCTACTATGAGTTTAGATCTAATTTTTGAAATTATAGTCTAGTATATAAAAGCTCTTTTATTTAAACAAAAACTACTTAGTTTTTCAATTTGAAAATATGAATATCATATCGCAATATTTGTAACATATTTCTAGATTGAAATTATAAATATTATTATTATAGAAGGCCTAATTTATTTTGTAAGCGCTAAGCCTTCTAAAAAGTGTAAGAACACATTGCTGACAAACTTTACATTTTGAATTAAATGTCAAAGTTATGATGTTTGACTCAACAAGTGAAACTGGAAACTTAGTTTGGGAAACAGAGGTAGTATTTAAGTAGCTTAGTATTACTGTAAAAAAAAAGTAGCATACGAATTTCTAAAATAAAAACCAAATTAAAACAAAACGATATCATATGCATTCATATTTCAAATAACAAAAAGAAATTGGGTCTGACCATAAATTACAGAAATTTAAACAACCCACCCACACGAGGAGAGCGGACTCACTTCAGTTGATCTTGAAGGGTGTCGAGAGCAATGGAGAAAGGGGATTTGGGGACTGATGGATCAGCATCAACCTGTTCAAAATGGGTTCAATACTCTAGTTTTTTCAGTAAGAAAATGACCAAATAATAAAAGCTTTTGAGAACGCCCTTGACAACAACAACAAGTAGTGAAGCTTTTACCCTGAGATTGAAGGAGAGTGTGGCCACAATGACGAAGAAAATAAGTCCCTTGGAAACCATGATTTTTACAGTCGAGGTTTAACTTCTCGGGAGTTTGTGCTGAATCTGCCCTTTTGAGTTTAGATCTAGTCGATGGGGAAAAAATGCAAAATTGCGGCTTTGAAGCTATGTTGTAAAAACAGGAGAAGAGGGTGACCAGGAAAAGTTATGGGGTCAAGGGTCAACTCGGTCAATATTTGTTAAAAAATAAATATAAAATACGTGTAATTATTAATCTTATTAAATTTTTAAAGAGAAGAAATATTATGATTCCTAGTTTAATAATCACAATAAGTATTATAAGCTTATAAAATAGAAGAGTTGATCTACACTATAGTTTAACAAAAAAAAATCAAAATCCATTTAGAGTTACATAAATAATGAATATGGATATAACATGCATGTATTACAAAGCATTAAAAAGTGGTATGAGTATTTTTATTTATATTTGGAATGATATATCTAGACATCACATAACCAGACAATACAATTTTAGTAATATTAGGTATTACTATTATTATTTATTAAAAGGAAATCATAATGTTTTAAATTTCAACTTTAATGTTGAAATAATGAGTGAAGAGCCAATGAAACACACCAGCTGTTGTGGCTGAATGGGCAGTACCTTAGCAGAGTCCGGAGAGTCCAAGGATCGATCCCTCCTGTGGGGATATTTTTAATCCGGGTTTGCTGGGTTATTCCGAGTTCTGGGCTGGGTTTCCGGCCGGGTTATGAGCGGTTATTCGGGTTTCGGCGGGTTTAGGGTGATTTGCGGGTTAGACCTTACCCGGACCGGTATTCCAAGCGGGTCGGCGGGTTCCGGGTCGGCCCGCCCGGTCCGGTTCGGGTCTTACAACACAGCTTTGACGTAGAGAGTTTATGCCATATATGGATCGGGCAACGGATTGGCCCTGTTTTTATTTGCTACGACGGAAAATAGGATTGGGCCTGTTTATGCATCACGGGTATGTAACACAAAACAAAGATGAGGCATTTTATAACCCTTTATACTTTCATGTTTCAACCTCAATATATTTGAGAAATTGTCATATTTTTATTCCAAAATAGCATTGTCACATTTTTATTTCCAATATGTGAGTAACTACTGCCGTATTTTGACAGTACCGGACGTTAAATATAACAATATTTTTAAAACTTGACAATATTTACCTTTATTTAAGGAATACAAATATATGAGTCCTATTTTGAAATTCTAAAACGTATTACTCTTATTTCGGGAATGTGTCATCTTTTTTCGTTGCAAATAAGATAACTTTTACAACAAATTAGTCTGTTTGTTTCAAATTGCAAATATTATACCAAATTATAAGAAGTTAGATTTAATTATACAAATTTGGTTTTGAAACAATGGCGCAAATATTACTCTTAGAGTTCCGGTTGACAAAAATATGACTAATTTAGGTTTAGACAAAAAAGTGACCGCTTGGAATCAACCAACCTCACTTCCAGATCTCTGATTAGTGGGGCTTCCTTCCTCGACGCCTCACAGTTGTCGTCACTCGCCTCTGAACATCTCCCCTACGCCTGCAATCATCGAAGTACATCACGGCCACCACCACAGGACCTCACAGTCGCACCGCTATCCGATTAACCCCTTTTTCTCTCCCGGCACCTTTCTGTCTGGCTGCGCGGATAACGCTGATTCCCAACAACTGAGTGCGGAGGGAGCGGATCTGGGGCGAATCCGACGGTAACGGGCAAATCTGAGTGAATTCGAGCGAGATGGAGGGGCTGGGGGAGGGTTAGAATGGGACTGGCTCGTCTGTCTGCGTCACATCTGCCCTCTCTGTTGGATTGTTGTTTTTGGCCCAGATCTGTCTTCAATGGAACCGTTGTTGCATGTAGTGGCTGGGGGGCTACGTCGGGGCTGAGGCTGGGAGGCCTCCCACGCGCTGGAGAGGTCTCTGGTGACTTGGGCAATAGTTATGGTTATGGAGTCAGAGAAGCTTGGAGGTGGTTGGGGGCAGATCGGGGGGCGTGGCTAGAGGTGGCAGGGGCTGTGGGCCTGTGGCTGGGGTTTTCCGGTGTTGGGCGTTAGGATGGGTTGCGCGGTTGAAGTGCGGTGTATGGGGTGAAGCAACAATGGTGGTGGCCGGAATAACTGTGGCTCGAATACTTGTGTGTCATGGTGGAGTTGTCACAGCTGACATGTGATTGTGGTCGGCCGCGATGGCCGGTGGCAGAGATGTCATTGTGGCTAGAGGTTGGGAGAGGGATGTCACTGCGGAGGTGTCACTATGACAGCGGCGGTGGCAGACGGCGGTGGCAATGACACAAGCAATGGCGATTGTAGTGACACGGGCATTGGCGCTGAAAGTCACACGAGCGTTTGTAGTGACACGGGCATTGGCGCTGAAAGTCACACGAGCGTTGGCGGCAGTGGCTTACGACAGTGGCTTGAAAATAGAGTGGTGACATAAATATTTGGGCAGTCATTTTATATTTTTCCACATATGTAACTATTGTAGGCACTCTTTTGTCCAGATGTAATATGATCACATTTTTTAAAATTATATTTAGCTTAGTAATATTCAGGTGAAAATCCCTTTTGTGAGATGAAGGAGGGTCGCAATACTTTCGCAAATTTAATTTAAAGTGGTGATCACTTATCATTAATATATGAGAATGACACTTGTATAAGCACTCTATTTCATATTTAAGTATTATTGTATTACATGATGACCTACATATTTTGGTAAAAATTGTGAAATGATTGAATATATAATGAATATTTTTGAAAATATCTATTTTAAATCAATTTGCATTTTTATGTGTACTAACATTGTTTTATCTTGTACGATCAAAAAACATTATTTATCTTGTTTTAAAAAATTATTTTATTAGTTAATGGTATTTGATAATGGCATTATGCCTTTAATTGTAATTTTATCATTTAAGCTACTTACGACAGTTAGTTTTGTCAAACGTGATTATTTAAAACATGCAGCTTTTATGAAACAACAAGAGTCTTTTTCATCTACAAAATTTTCAGCTCAAAAAAGCTAACATACAGTTGCTAAAATTTCTAAAAAAGATTTTTTCAGCTAATAAGGCCAAACATAGACCATGGGGTATGTTTGTCACAACTAGCTTGTTGAGGTTTATTCCTTCAACCCTCGGGCCCAACACGTAAGCCCAAAAGTTTCGAGTGGAGTGGATGTATGAGTGTGTGAATATCTAGCCCAACAACTCCCAGATGAATCAGGAAACAAGGAAAATAGCAGGCAATGTAAGTAGGTATTATTAACTTCGTAATAACTCCCCTAAGTACAATCTACTTGCTCACAAGGCACGTCGGTCGTTCGTCTTACAAGGTAGTAGAAGAGCCACTAGTAAGAATGTTGTAGCTAGAGTGCTAAGAATAGAAAGTTGCCAACCCTTTTCAATGAAATAAATGCTTCTATTTATACCCACCAATGGGCAGGTGGCTGTGCTGACGTGGCAGCCTGTGGACCGCTGGTGCCCCAACTACCAAATCTTCAGCATTAAATGCACTTCCCGCCAGAATCTAGGTTTCCCGCCCAATCAGTGGGGACGTTCGTCCGTCCGGGGGGTGAGTTGGATCGCTCTAGGTGATCATCAAGAGATACCGGCCGTACGTTTTCTGGCCTTGGACTGGATTCCCTCTGATGACTACAGGCTTGCTCTGGAGACGTTCGTCGTCATCCCCGGCGGCCCGTAGTCCTGCTCATTGTCTCAGTATAGACGTTCGTCGTCGAGGAGACGTTGGGCCTGAACCCCCAAACTCCAGACGTTCGTCCCTCTTTTAAGAACCATGGGCATGCGGGCCAGCGTTGTCCTTTTACTGGACGTGCGTCTGGTCAGATGGAGTTAATGGGCCGGGCCTCGGCTTGGGCCCTTAACCCAACATAGCTGAAAAGATATTTTTACAGACTTTTTAATAACTGTTAGCTTTTATTGACTGAAAAGATCTTAAAAGTAAAAGGTGATAGGTGTTTGGTAAAAAGCGGACTGTTTGGTTTAGTTTTGTTTGCTATACAAGTTGTTGAGACTAATTAATGTTAAAATCAACAGACTTTTCTCAGATGATACTCCTTGTAGCATCTCAAAAAATATATTTTATTCTTTGAAAAACTCTTAAAAATTGTCATACCAAACATATAACTATAAGTTCTTGGGGACTTTTTAAATAATACAAAACGCTAGAAGGCGGAGACTTATGCCTCCTAAACATAGCCTATATAAAGCGCCATAATGGGCTATTGCAAAAAATTTAATACTATAACTAATTGGTATAATTTTTTTTTCTATAACTAATTGGTATAAAAATAAGAGCATAAACTAATTATCGCCGATGTTGATGTTATTATTTCTTTTGGACTGAAAATTGCTGGTCTGGTCTGTTTAAGTCCGGTTTGTTCTGGTCTAGTCTGAACTGGTCTATTAAGGGTCTGGTCTTTGTGTATTTTATAACTATGTAAATCTGATCTGATCTGATCTAGTCTGATTTGTTTAAGTCTGGTCTGGGACTGAAAGCAGTTCAAAAGAAAACATCCTAACTAATGTCACTTTATAGTAGCACACGTAGAGGAAAAATCATTCTTGTGAAATTAAAACCCAATTGAGATGACTAAGGCCCCGTTGGTAGTTTATTTCCTCTTATTCTGCTTATCACTTAATCGACTGAAATGGATATAACTAATGTTTTTCTTTTTCGGGAATTCATGATAATCAATTTTAGTGAAATCTGCCTTCTCAAAGAAGCACTACTAAATTTACTTAATTGATTGAGAACAAAGAAACAATGACATGTTGAGACAATCCATTCTTTTCCCTCTTATATATGTCATACAAAATATATTCTATATTCAATTGAATATATGTTCAAAACATCCAATTTAAAAAATGGGCATATAAAGTTAATTCTTAAGTAAAAAGAGAGTTTTGTTTTGAATTGAAACACCTTCAACGATATGAAGCATATGATCGAGGAAATTTTCCATTCTTGATGATTTCTAGAACAAAATGGCTATGAAAGCATGAGCATATAATTGATAAAAAGGTGAACATATCTTAAAAGTTCCAGGAAAAACATGAAAGTATCCGTCTTTTTACTACAAGAAAATTCTTTGAGAGAAAATAAAGAGTCAAACCAAGTCAAGAAACAATTAACAAACATTTGTTGAAAGAACCCAAATCTAAGACACAAATTAAGAAAAGAAGAAACGCTCGCCATAAGCTCAACATTGTGCTAAGAACTAGAAAGGCTTGTCCAATTATAAACAAGCAGAGGGATACACCTTTAGACCCGAAATTCCAAATATGAAGAAAGTTAACAAGAACACAATTGGTATCCGTAAATTCAAATCTTTCCCAAGCAAAAGACACCCCAACTTCTTAATTAAAGATTATTAGGGAAAAAAACTTGCTATCAGAGAGCCTTTTAGTCGATCATGAGAAAAACAGTACATAACTTATTTTCTCATCTTAAAGAAATTTGAGGGATAGGAAGGCCAGTAAGAGAAAAAGAAGGAAATACCCAATCTCTTAAAGAGTACCCTACTTTGGGTATGTGAAAAAACGCTGGTTTATCCGGCTGAAATGAGGGAGTTAGTCACCCCTTACGTGAACTCTGTTTAGTGAGGGTGGGGTGGGGGTGCATGTTCTATCTCCTGTCCAGGTGGATGTGGGGCAGGGAGGAGGGGAGCTCGATAGAGGATAAAAACAAGAAGATAAAAAGAAAAGGATGTTTTTTTTGGAAAGAATACAATTACACACTGCCAGCTATCATCGAGTCTTCTTCATCAAGGTTCTTACATTTCCATGGTGAAACTGAAATCTGTTTATATAGAGTCAAGAAACTTGTGTCATTAAGAGATTACAACGATTTAAACTGTTGTTTTGAACTTTTTTTGAATGTCTCACCAAACATACAATGCTTATTTCATGCACCCGATAATCAGGTTCTATTTTTGGTGCTTATTCCGTGCAACTGGCGATTAGGTTATGTGTTTGGTGCTTGTTTCGTGCACCTGATAGCAAGGTTCTGTGTTTGGTGCTTGTTTCGTGCACCTAACGGTAAGGTTATGTGTTTGGTGCTTGTTTCTACACCTGACGGTAAGGTTCTGTGCTTTGTGCTTGTTTCGTGCATCTGGCGATATGGTTTTGTGTTTTGTGCTTGTTTCGTGCCCGTGAGGGTAAGGTTATGTATTTGGTGCTTGTTTTGTCCACCTTACGATTAGGTTATGTGTTTGGATCGTAAAATAAAAAATAATGTTAATTCCAATAATACAATTAGATTATATCTCCAATAATGTCACAATTTTTACCAAAATGGCAAAATATGTAATTCATCGTGGAATACATAAAATGAGAGATGCTTGTAGTGCAACAACACATGATTCATTAAGGCCCCGCTGGTAGTTTATTTTCTCTTACTCAGCTTATCACTTATTCGGCTGAAATGGATATAACTAATGGTTTTCTTTTTCGGGAATTTATGATAATCAATTTCAACGAAATCTGCATTCTTCAAGAAGCACTACTAAATTTGCGTAAATGATTGAGACCAAAGAAACAATGGCATGTTGAGACAATCCATTCTTTTCCCTCTTATATCTGTCATAGAAAATATATTCTAAATTCAATTGAAAAAATGTTCAAAACATCCAAATTATAAAATGGCATATAAAGTTAATTCTTAAGGAAAAAAGAGAGTTTTGGTTTGAATTGAAACACCTTCAACGATATGAGGTATATGATCAAGGAAATTTTCCATTCTTGATGATTTCTAGAACAAAAAGGCTATGAAAGCATGAGCATAAAATGGATAAAAAGGTGAACATATCTTAAAAGTTCCAGGAAAAACATGAAAGTATCCGTCTTCTTACTACAAGAAAATTCATCGAGAGAAAATTAAACAAAGAGTCAAACCAAGTCAGAAAACAATTAACGAACATTTGTCGAAAGAAACTGTTGAATTATGATTAGTCACAAGAATCGGCAAGGAGTAGATGAAAGAACCCAAATCTAAGGCACAAAATAAGAAAAGAAAAAATGCTTGCCATAAGCTCAGCATTGTGCTAAGAACTAGAAAGGCTGGTCCAATTATAAACAAACAGAGAGATACACCTTTAGACCCGAAATTCCAAAAATGAAGAAAGTTCACAAGAACACAATTGGCATCCGTAAATCCAAATCTTTCCCAAGAAAAACACTCCCCAACTTCTTAATTAAAGACTATTAGGAAAAACACTTGCTATCAGGGGGCCTTTTAGTCGATCACGAGAAAAACAGAACACAACTTCTTTTCTCATCTTAAACAAATTTGCGGGATAGGAAGGTCAATCAAAGGAAAAGAAGCAAATACCCAATCTCTTAAAGAGTACCTGTCACGCCCCGGACCTACCGGACACGTCAACAACCCGCCGTACAGTACGAATAGTCAACCGCAGTCCAACTCATCCATACTATACTAGGCGTCTTGAATATCATTCACAATAGTACATCCATAAACAAACATAATGTAAAATAATCAATTGAAATCAGCGGAAACGTTTAATACAAGTGTTTATGCCGCACTCCGGCAAACATGGGCATACAAGCCCCAATAATCATTCAAAAATATCCATGAGCATTAATTGAAATGTTTTTAAAACAGAGACGGAGGAAGCACGAACCACGTCTTCCTTCCTAGATCTTCCCGAGACAACGGGCACTGGTA